GAGGCTGTGCTCAATGTCGACGATGGTCGACGAGGACGAGCAGGAGGAGCTCCGTTGCACGGGCAGCGACGTGGAGATCGAAGAGTACACCGACACCGACGAGTCGCCATATGTGGCTTATCAGGCCACCGATAAGCTGTTCGACACGGACAGGGTCGCCTGGCAAAAATTCAGTTTCCTCGCGACCCTCTTCGCCCTCGTCATCTCCATCACCTCGCTCGTTATCACCTATCCCCTTTATCTCGAGAGCGTCAGCAACGTGTCCAACGCTTATACAGGTAAGCGGTTCGAACAACTCAACATATACGTATATGTGTACTTTCGTCTAACTTCACGGCAATCACGTTTCATCCAAATTTTAATGCAACGTGCAAATCAGTTTGCATATGAAATAACTGCTCTTACGTTTCATTAATTAATTAATCTGTTAATAAATTTTGTATAAAAGTCTGCAGTGAATTTTAATAAATCTTTGAACTGACACAGATTTTTAGGGACGTTTTAGGGACGATCGGGTAGAAGTTTGTAGCGGCGTAGGTAGTAAAAGCGGCCGTTTAAGGGCGCAACAAAAGAATCTAATTACTGGCAACTTCACTCAAGTGACAAGTGGCCCGCGACAGAACCGTAACTCGAGCCTCGAGGAAACAATAGGATAAAGTGCGACGCAAAGCGGCCCGAGCTTTTCTTTCCGGAGTTTAACCCATTTCTTGGATATTTTTTTTTCTCCCCCGTTCTTCTTTCCCTCCCTTGTTCGCCCGATGGGAGAACGTTGAATAAACCTTGAATAAATTCGTTTTGCCTTCCGCTTGGAACAACTTTTCCAAGCTTCGATTCAGTCTTCAGTTGTGAGTATTAATTGAGTTGTTTCCCAAGTAAACAGTTGAGTGTATATTTCGAGTCTGTTGCTAATTAATGAATAGTTGATTGGCATGAAGGAAATACAGCAAAATATTTTTGAAATAAATGTTCTTAATAAATAAGGAATTTGAACAAGCGAGAAGGAATACTTAAGGATGTATTGGCTATACAGTTAATCCCAA